CGTCCGTTTAAAACTCTAGCTATCGTCAATCAGTGAATAAACCTCCAATTATACCTTACCCAGAAAGCAACAGAGACGGTAAGTTGGGTGTTTATTAAAGATGGGTTTCCTTATTTTTTAGTGTCAAATTAAGCAAACTATTTGATTAATTGGTGTTTCTAATGAATTATCATGTATTCTTAATCATATCATTATGTGCTTATTGCATATAATTAAGAGTTTTAACCAATCATAAATTTCTGGATAAACAAAAAAGACTTTTTGACCTCATTGGAATTCTGCTGGTAATTCTCTTCTAATTTAGCTAATTATAAATTAGTTATAGACATGTGAGACAAACTGGTATTTTTCCAAGTCATTAGAACACCTCTACTTTCTATTCATATAAGTAGTAGCATTTTCATTTTCATAAATAAAAATACGGAAACCCATCTTTAAGTGGTTGTATTGAAACTTCTTATCTTCCTCTATTATGTGCTGTAACTATGGAAGCTGTTTAAGAGAATATGAATGTAATGTTACATTTGACTTCTATTTTAATATATTGAATAATAAAAACTACATTTACTAGATTTACTATAGATAGACCGCCATGATTTCACATACCTATAACTTATATCTTTTTTACTTATTTCAAAAGATTTCGTAATACCAGTACCGTTAGAACAGACACCTTATCAAAAGCTAATGAATTCAGTGTTTCATCCATCTGTTTTCAAGAATAAGGTACCAGTCTCAATAGATAATAGTTAGTTATATCTCTTAACCAATAAACACTGTACTGTACCATTTCCAGGAATTTACTCTGCCATGAAGAACCTGCAGGATAAAGTGCGAAGACTGGAACTAGAGAGAACCACAGCAGAAGATAATCTGAAAAACTTATCGAATGAAACAGCTAAATATAGTTTATGTTTACAGAAATCTCAGGAAACTGAAAATTTAGCCAATGAAATAGTCAATAAACAGACAAAAGGTAGATTTCAGTAATTAGATTTCAGTATTTTGCTCTCATGATGATAGGGGCAGGGTTGACAGTTGACTACAGGCTGGCTTTTAAATCCACTGCAGTGGCATCAGAATTTTCTTACCTTGAGGTGGATTCAAACTGGAGAAAAAAATGCAGACGGTACTGAATTATGTACCTAAAGTTGGATTTAAACCCAATGTGTTAATCAACAATCCAACTTGGACTAACTAAGTTATTTCACAGCCCTCTAAGTTAATCTGTTGTATATCTATCAGGAATAGTAACATCAGTTCAATTTATTACAAAACCTGCCTTCATACACTCACTATATTCATCTGTTAGTTATTTCACAGTATTACAGAAACCCATTCTTCAATATCTATTTATATCTTTAAAAATATTTCTCTTAAGTTCATAAATTTTCTCACTTCTGATTGTGATAAGTGTCCCAGTTACCTTAGAATTTATTTAGAACATAATTATAATATATTATCATGGTCTTATCAGTCTTAATTATCCAAGTTAAGCAAAGTATTAGATAATCCTTGTAATCCTTGTAAGATATTTAGAAGTATCACAGCACATTTAGAAACAACAGTTTTTTTGGATAAAGACTTCTATTTATTATTGTATTATATCTATTTATTATATATAATGTTTTGAGCTGTATGGTTAATTATCACTTGAGAAGGTTACCTGTATGTGTAATGAAATGTTGTGTTTAATAATAAATAGAAGTCTATATCTATAACAACTGTTGTTTCTTAATGTATTAGATGTTTAAAAGTTTATATCTAATTTATTTGATAGAAATAGAGAAACAGCTCTCAGCTGCTGAATCTAGATGTGGTATGTTGGAGAAACAGTTAGATTATATGAGGAAGATGTTACATTCATCTCAACAGGAACAACTAGAGTCAGCTCGTAAACGTCTCGAACTTGATAAACATCATCAATATCCCTCGTCAACAGACCCTATTCTACATCATCAACTTCAAAAAATACCAGAATTAGAACGAGAAAATTTAAAATTATCAGCCACACAGTCTATCTCTGAGGTAGGTTGACAAATTATGGTGAAATGAATGGAGTTTAACATCATTTCAAATTGTCGAGGAATCTTGAACGAGCAGGACCTCAGTTAATTAATCCTTTCAACCTGCATCATTGATGTGGAAACTGGATTGAAAAATATCTCAACCCATGCTGGGGTCATAAACAAGACCCTGGTATAGCCTGTAACTCACCAAGTCACTGAGGCCAAACCAATAGTTTGATATTCGTCAAAATATGACAAAATATATCATTTGTATATGTTTTTTCGCCAATATATGGTTTATGATTTCAGGTTTCGTGTTGTAGTTTGTCAGTACCTGTTTATATATACTCTGTCTCATTATGAAGTTTTAAGAATATAGAATATTTATGTATTAATGTGACTATAATTTGATAATTACAGAATAAAATACGTGAATTAGAACAGAAACTAAGAGAAGAAGATATTCATCGTCAAATGATCATGGATCGTGCTAATGATGTAAGTTTTTAGTCTGAAAATGATGCTGATTGTTATATTTGTGTATAAGACTGGCTGAATGTTATGTTTCCCAACTGACTGGTAGAAAAATAACTAAGAGCTTATCAAAATATATATATTTGAGCAACCAGGGTCCTATTAGATAGACACATGAATTGACTTTGGAGGAGTACAAATTACTTCCATTCATAAACTCTCGCGGTGGTGCAGTGAGTGAGACGCTTGCTCGCTAACCTGAAAGTCCAGGGTTCAATCCCGGTCAGTGATGCAGGT